ACCAGGGAGTTTTTCTGCTGTCCCTTGTGACTCCAGTGGCCTTTATTGCTAAATCTTGCTGTTTCCTTGGGGGAAGGACTTCTGTTTATAATTCTTTGGATATAAAAGGAAATAACAGATTGTAGGAGGCTGGGGCTGGGAGGTAGGGGCAAAGGAGAGGTGGGAGGATGGAAGGAGAGAACGCTTAAGCTGTGCTCAGGCCTCACAAAGACATCCTGGATCCCACCAAATCTGCCCAAAGCCCAGGAAATGCCCCTGGGCATGGGCCTGACCTGGGCAGGCAGAGGCTGCCAGGAGACAATGTGCTCGTGCTTCTCCCAGGTTCTGGGTGAACAAGCCCAGGAGGCCTCGTGCCCTCCCTCATTGCCCAGAGAGGCCCACATTCCAGGGAAAGGGAGCATAGACCCTCCTTCTGTCCTGGGGCCCTGACTACCCAGGTCACCTGTTTATCTGTCAGAAGGGTTATTCTGTCCCTGCATGCTACAGGGGATATGACTTTGTTCCTGGGCCATACTGTTCCTGTGACGAAGAAGACAGCAGCCTTGCTAAAGCAACAGAGTCTGCCTGAAGCATCTCTGCTGCGTGCCCCTTTAGCACCTGAGAGGTCCAGGCACAATGACAAAAGGCTAAGTTATATCAAAATGAGGGGAACAAGGAAGAAAGGAAGGAAAGAGGGAGGGAAATGTTTTTTTCTTTTGATTCCTACCTCCTGGAAATGGGCTGGGCGTGGGGGCAGACACTGCAGCTGGAAGGCTGGTGGTGGTGGGGAGATTAAGGGAAAAGTCAAGGAAAGTCCCAGAGGACCCCCTACGCCAAGAGTTCCCCCAGAAGGCACCACATGCAAACATATTCCCCTCTATGGCTTCTGAGAAGAGAAGGAAAAGGCAGGGGTGAGGCAAGGAGACAGGAGAACAAAGGGTGGGCACAGCCTAGTCCAAAAAGGAGCCCCTCAGTCCGGCCCCCGGACGACAGTCCCTGAGGAGGGGAGTCAGGCCTCCCCACACCTGTGCTGCTGCCAGGGAGGCACAGACGTTGTGGAAGCGGGAGGGTCAGGGCAGGGCTTTCTGGTGCATGGGGGAGAGCAGGGCTAGAGGGAGCCTCTCACTGTCCCCACTCTGCCCTGCTCCTCACAACCTGGCGGGCCACCTCAGGCCTGGCTCCCCCTGACCCAGGAGGAGCATCTCCCATGGAAGTGCCCCTGGAGGGGCGCTGCGGAGGCTCCTGCCCCAGGCCCTTGGGTCCCAGGAGAGACTCCGTCCTGAGCTGGGGGGTGGTCGTCTCACTCCTCCGCCTTGCCCAGCCTGCCTGAAGCCCCCCCAGAGTCACAGCTGCTCGGAGGTTCTCTGCTAGAACAGCCAGTTTCCTACTGAGCAACAGGTCTGCTAGTGCAAGGCAGCATGTCATGGGGTGGGAAAGAAGCTTCATTCCTTGGCCTCCTGGGGCGTCTCAGGCTCTGGAAAGCAAGTGCCAGGTCCTGGGATTCCCCTCGTGTGGCTGGGGCCTCTCTCCAGGGAGGTCTCAGGATTGGAAGCTAAT